CAAAATATTTTTTATCAGTTTCACATAAGGAGATCAGGAAATTAGACAGAAGCCACCCCTCATAACACATGACCAATAAGGTTTACAAAAATGACTTAGTAAAATTAAAATTAAGTTCTTATTAACCAAAAATCACCTGGAAAATATAAATGTTGCCAAGTATAAATGCCCATTTCATACATTTATTCTATTTAAATGATCAAAGCCATTCTAACTTTACAAGTCATGTTCAAATTAGTACCTTTACCTTTTTAATCCAAAATGATGATTTTAGCTAAACACATAAAAATAAACAAAGAGCTAACAGGAACTCACTGAGAGAGAAATTTGAAAATCATTAGGGCTTTGTGGACTTGAAGCAAGAGTTGGCACTAAAGAAAACAGTTTTTAAGCAAAGATATGCATACTTCTTTGGAAAATATAAAGACTATGAAATGCCTGGCTATATTAATCTCAGCTGTGTAAGAGAACACACTTGTATCCGTAACTTCTAGTACTTTAGTAAGTGTTCATTTTTTTCATTAAAACAACAACCATCTTTGCTCTATAAACAGAATCAATTTGCTAAGAAACAAACTTGAATACCCGTGGGAAAAACATATCTAATAAAAAACACACATTGTAACTTTTCTGTTTGATACTGTTTTGAGCACTCTTCATTTTAGTAAGGTTTCCAGCTTTACTTTACTTTAGGAGGGCCTGAGAAAACATGTGAAACACAGGACTCTGAACGGTAATAATCTTGTTACATCTAAATAATCACCTCACACAAGTACATTACAAAATATTTATAGGAGCAACTACAAATATGTCATTTCCTGCCTATAAAGTTCAAATGTCTACTCCTCCCTTGGTAAGAATATGACTTTGGTACAGTTTTTAATGTATTTTTAAAGAATGTATTTTAAAGACCATACTTTCCTACGGTCTGTGTATGTCTTATGATTTTGAAACCATTAATATCAAAATTTCATTAGCTAAACTGTTACTTTCTACACTGGAGAAAACCTCAAAATCCTATGCTGAAAATCATAAAGTACATTTCAAAATTTCATTGATGTAAAATGCATTTGCATGACTAATTTAGTCTGCATACAAAAAAAAAGTATGCATTAAAATTATCCAGAAAATACACTGCGTGGCAACGAGTGGTCTGTATACCCAAGTGTGTGCCTGCCAAGCAAACACATTTCCCTCGCTGGGCACAGGGACCCAGGTGACCCATCCACCTGGCCCTTCTCTGCACTGTGCCTTTGAGGACGGCAAGAGGAGAGCTGCAGGCCAATGTCAGGACACAGTAAGGTAATTTTGCATCCTTCAAGCTGTGACTTTGCCTTAGTCCCCCACAAGCATTTTCAAAGCTTGCCTTGCACCTGCCTCGGTGCAGCTTTCTTTCTCACGGAAACACCTGGGGACTGGTGCAGGAGAGGCAGGATGCCAGTGGCTGCCGAGACTCTGCCTGGCGCATGAAGCTTACTGAGCAGCCTGACTGCAGCCACACGATAGTGCCAGGTGAGAAACTTGTGCGGTCTCCAGGGTCCTCTGGTATACAACCTAGAAACTGCTGCAGGGGCTGACCAGGCTGACTGGCTGGGATTGCCAAGCCGGCAGTGGGTTCTGGGCAGCAGGTTGGGAAGCAATGAACTCCTCAGTGCTGCAGAAATTCCCAGCCTGCATCAGCTCTCCACAAATGCATGTTCCACACTGCGGCCTCTGCGTTTGCCATCTGAACCTCTGCATTGCTCACATAATTTCCATCTTCTTTCAGATAGCAATAATCGAAGTGCTGTGCAATCTTGTATTTTATGTAATACTTTATATTTGTATACTTTTGCTGTTAAAAGTTGTATTAAGATCTTTGTGACAAGAGGAATAAAAGCATACATTTTGGTCTTCATTACCCCAGCCCCATGAGAACAGAGGGATCAGATGAGAGCGCTGTGGGTGACCCTCCCACAGCCGGGAACCACCCACATGGCATCTGCATGTTGGGAAGGAGAAGGAAGCAACCAGGTGTTGTCAACTACAAGCAGAAACTTTCAGGACTGTTTGCAGATGTGATTTGCAAGGGGCCTTCAGGAAGAAGAAAGCCCTCTGAACTCTAAATTAACAGGCACGTTTCTTCCAAGGAGAGACTTCTGGGAGTAGAACTCAAGTTCTCCAAGAAAGGTATGGAAATGGACAAAATCAAAATACGTTCCCTGCCGATGTGACTGGTAACTTTCCATCCCCTCATATGAAGTTACATCAAACCTCCAAATGATGTTTTTAGACTAAATCTCTTACTGCCTTTATTATCCTGTGGACAAAGTTCCTCTTCAGAGATATACAACTGTATCATATTTTGTATTTAGAGAAATATGAGATTTTATTTCAACCATATTTGACTATTAAGACTTGTGTACAAATAGTATTTTAATATTTGAATGGCTTAATCCATAATATTCACATATTCTAACATGACTCAATATTTTATTCATATTCAATATTCACATAGTTATGAGATAAAATATTCAGTATATGCATATTGAGTTGAATTACATATGATCATGTTTTAATTTTAATGATAGTGCAGTTTCTATTCAAGTAATTCTTCACAGATGGTGATTAAACTAAGTTTTAAGGTTAAAAAGCCCTCTTCACAGCTGTTTGAAGGCACTGGAGGTGAGTTAAGTAGACCTGAGAGTCCCCTAAGGCACATGGAGAGAGACAGCTCCCCAAGGCACAGCAGCCAGGAGTTTCAGTCCAGCCAGATAAACTACTTTCCAGAGCAAAAGTCAACCATCTTCAAAATGTCAAATAATAGGATGTTGACAACATGTGATCTAGAATGTTCAGTATACTGTAAAATTATTATGCATGCAAAGAAACAGAAACAAAAATCCTAATTCAAGGAAAAATCAGTCAAGACAAATCAACCTTAATAGGAAGTAGAAGACAGAATTAACATATAAAGATTTTGAAACACTAAATAAATAAATTTTATTTAAAGGCTTAAAGGAAAATGTAATCATAATGAATGTAAATATGGCAGGCCATTCAGTATAAAAGTAGGCACTATAAGAAAGTAAAGTTACAGGACTCAACGTTCCGTGCAATTGGCATGGCACAATGGGATGAGCTTAATGGCATATTTGGAAGATCAGAAAAGTGAGTTAGTATATTTAAAAATAAATCAATAGAATTTAAGCAATCTGGAAAGCACAGCCAAAAGTTTAAATGGAAATGAACTGAGTTTTGGTGATCTATCAGACAAGGCCTAGAGAATTAACATATATAAGTATGTAAATAAATGTAAAACACATCTATATAAATATATATACGTATGCATAAATCTCTGAAGAAAAGCAGAAATATTATTTAAACAAGAAATGACAAAAAGTTAGAAAAACATAAGAGGCATGCATCCAAGAACATCAGTATTCTAAGAAACACAGATATAATCTCCTCAACCATCTCTATGAACACTATAGAGAAATCTCTAAAAAGGCCAGGTTAAGATAAAATCTTGAAAGATGAAATAATTACTAACAGGATAATGTCCATATGCATGAAACATTAATTTACATTAGAAAGAGGTTAGAATATAATAAAGGGTTTTTTTTTAAATGATGAAAGATAAAAGGGAAAACATAAAAAGAACTATTAAGCCAGAATTCTATATCCAAAGAAAATGCCTCTAAAAAATAAAGGTGAAACAAACTTTGAAATAAATGAAAATAGGATTCGGTGTTAGCAGAAGTGCCGTCAGATTCTACACATTCTAACTTTGTGTGTATGTGTACCTTACATACACCTCGCCTGATTTGCCTTCTATATCTGTTAACTTCTATTACATTAACTACTCCATTTCTTTAAAGAGATTCAGCAAATATATTGTGATGTCTTTATGTAGAACACTTTAACTTACAATTACAGGTGGTAAACTAGCAGATTAAATGGGTTACTTCTGCATCCTGCCTGTAAGGATGGCTCACAGCTATAAAATCTCAGTCCGGGACCCTCTCTGCATACCTCAGCTATTAGGTATGTCAGTACTGTGCTAATATGCTTGTAACTGAGAGTTAATGAGTGTACCAGAAATAATAATTTAGTGGTAAAATGAATGCTGTTCTTTATTTGTGTTTGCTAAACATATTTTTCAACCACTGCTACCCTTTCCTGAAGAAGGCGTTAAGAATCGCAAGGCTAGGCACCTGCCTATAGATGTCTAGATCTCTATTTCATGGCTGGCCCTTCTGAATGGAAGCTGTGCTTTCTAACCTAAGCAACATCAGAATATTGTTTCATGGACTTCTGGGCAACTGTGATGGATCAAAGCACGTCGGAGCGTGCACACCACAGCAGTGAATGCAGCTGGCCGGCTCGCAGGAACAGCTACGGCTAATCTCGGGTCAGTACCCACGGGATGGTGCAGAATTCACTTGGACTCAGCCTGCTTTCCTGTGTGACTTTGCACGTCACAGGGAAAGACGTGAACAGCTTCTCCTACTAACTCACCTTCAGTCCTTCCAAGTGCACAGCCCTCCTGTGCTCCCCATCTTGCTGGCCTAGACAAAGTAATCACTGAACCAAAAGTCTCTTCATACACTTTATTAAAATATCACATGCAGTATTATACTTATGTGAATTATCTCTCTTTCTGTCTCTGTCGCTCTGTCTCTCTCTCCCTCTCTCTCTTTCTCTGCTCACAGAGCCCAGTTTTTGGTGAATAAGTTAATAAATATATATAGTAGAATACTATTTGATATAGGTAAAATTTTTAAGAGAATGAATTAAGCAAATAACTGCTGAATAAATACATAGAGAACTGGTTCACAGATTTCTAGCTGACAGAGTTTAAGAGGCCAGATATCATTTCTTTGCTGCAAGCAAGCTACGTCAGCATATCCCAAATGCTTCTTTCATTTTTGTGGAAAAACTGGCATCTTCTTTCTATTAAAGCAGACTTGTGTGGCCATCATTCATGCTGGTGGTGACAGCGAATGAAGCTCTCTTACCTCCAGGTGATAGCCAACCCGAATGAAGGCACAGAGCGGGTCGAAGGCGCCAGTCCCGCAGGTCAGCAGGTGGGTCCTGTTGTAGTGATGTAAAACGCGGACGAAATTCGCACACTCGCTCTAAAGCAGGACCCAAAGACACAGGTTAGCGTAACTCATTGGTTAGGTGATGGTCCTTTTCGATTTTCATTTTCCTCCTTAACAGAAATCCCATGTTTTACCATAGTTCTTTTTGGGTGGACGGAGTAAGAGGGAAGACAGGAGGAAGACAAGGACCAAGGAAAAGAGACTGATGACTGTCACGTGCGTTTCAGTTAGCAGTGACGTGGGAGTTACATCTTATTATAATGGCCCGAATCACTTTCTGTGCATTCAAGATGCCAACTGCTCAGAAATGTATTCGAGCGTAAAGATTTGCATAGCAATATGTTCCTCTGGGTAATTAAGATATTCCCAGGGCTGTTGCTTTTTAGTACAGTGTAAACAATGAATCAGCACAAAGTCAAAAACCAATAATTAGGTGTAGCTTCATTATTCATAAGGAAGCGTAGGCAGATTGCAGGCTTTAGCAATTTCAGAGAGAATTTTCAAGTGAGTAGAAAAAATGCAAATTAAATAACATTTGATGGTGGGACTGTAACTGCTGTGAAAGTACAGCCCACGGACCAACCAGGCTTCCAGCAGGGGTCGGCTTGTCTGTGCGGTTTTTTTGGTGGGCAATCCGGTCTCTGCTGCCACTACACACCCCAGCTGTAGCGTGCCAGCAGTCTGAGTCCACAGAAAGATGATGTGTGTGGCTGTGGCTTGTAAAGTTCCATCCCGGCCCCGCTGCTGCCACACATAAGCTGCCCGAAGCCACAATCATTACTTTACACATGGTTGCACGGCCAGTTACTCAAGCCCACTCTCCAATACATGCATATCGTACCTGACAACTCTTAATACGCTGTCAGGAGGTGGTTTATGGTCAATTTTCTCAATGAAAGAAAACATTTAAAATAGCTTCAAGTGGGCATGGTGGCACACTTGTGTAATCCCAGCACCTGAGAGGCTGAGGCAGGAGAACCATTTGCAACTGTGAGACTAGCCGGGGTTACAAAGTAAGCCTGAGGCCAGCCTGAACTGCATAGCAAGACCCTGCCTCAAAAAGACACAACAAAAATAAAAATGATAAAAAATAAAATAGCTTCAAAACTACCTTGACTAAATCAGTTCTAGCAAATACCCTCTAACAAAAGTGAATTACACCACACCTCAGTTCTTTTATGTCATCTTCCCCTTCCGTGTTTGATCCCTCCCTTGTTTGATCCACTCCCGATTTCCTCTCATATCTTATTTTGCTTTTTGTACTCCCCATGGTGAGTATAAGGACTGTGCACTATAAACATGAGCTAATAAAAATGTAAATCATAAATGACAGAAGAAACACTAAGCCTCTTGCTGCTGACCCTTGCTGTGAAAGAGTGCACTCACGTTCTGCGCACGCAGCAGTCTATGAGTTCAGCCTGCAGCTTCAGCGCCCGCCCACAGGCTCCCCTGTAACAGGCCGGGATGGTGCGCCTGAGCCCGGGACCGGGGGCCACGCCGCGCGTGCAGCTCCTCAGCGGGAGTGAGGGACACACTACTCCGCTGTGAGCGGGCCACGGCGTGTTCAGGTTTCTACGCTTGTGACACCGCAAGGGTGACCTCGGAGTGGTAGAAGCTGATGGCTCAGGCCTGCTGGGTGTCCTGCCCTCACACTGCCCTGGCACCTGCTTCTCCTCTGTGGACACACCGCCCATCTGAGACTGGGCCCAGGGACCGCATGGGCGCCGTTGAGCTTCGGCTGCAGGGCCTAAGGGGACAGATCGGGCCACTGGGGAACTCGATGACTCATTGCTGGCTCTGATCCAGGAGCCGCAGCACACAGGACCTGGTGCCGGGCGTGGTTTTAGCAGAGAAAGCGGAGCTCGCCTTCAAAGGGTGATCTGGGACCTTCCTTAGAGATGTGCCCTACAGCAGGGCAGCTGCCACTCCCGCCCGGCCGACACTTGGACTCCTGTCCCCTGGCCCCCAAAAGCCCACCGGTGGCCTCTGCCACTCCCACACCTCTAGTGACCCCAAATGCACCTCACAGCCCTGATCCCTCCGCAGGCTTCACATCCTCTCTTTTTATTCTTTGTCTCTGCTTTACTAATCAAAGTGAAGAAAATCCTCAAAATGTGTCCATTTTTCTCAAATTAAAAAAAAGCTACCATAGTTTTTTCCAGTTGCACTGGAAATAAGCCTTAGCACAAAGAACTTATAAATTTGAGATTACACTTAAACAAAACAGTTCAATTCCCGGCACACACAAAAAAAAGAAAGAAAGGAAAAATCCCAGATCTGGACGGCAGTTGGTCCCCTAAAACCGCGCTAATGCTGATTCATATAATGATATCCTGGTCCAATGTGTATGTTTGTATTTATCTGTCATGAACGGAACGGCACAGATGCTTTTTGATAACAAATAGAAGTCTGCTGTGTTGAGTGGGCATGTAACTGATGACCCGGGAACTTACAGTGAATAATACTCACCGCGTCCTTCCCTTTCATTATGCAGTCTTCTATTTTTAGCGCTGTACTGGGCCAGTGAATCTGGAACAGAAGACAATGGACTATTATAGCAGCAGCACTGGAAAACCGGCTCACTTTCTCCTATGGTTTAATCTATTTCCATTTTGCTCTATTTGCTAGAAAGATACAAGAAGACTTTCTCTTGTTCGCATAACTATTTGCATAATGGGGAACTTCGTCTGTGAACTTTTACTTGGTGCTAAGCCTTTTATTCTCTTAATCTTTGGGCAGGCTGGCTTCCTGTGCACCAGCCCTGCAGAGCGCAGCCGTCTGCAGCCAGGCCCTCGGGCCGCCCTCCTGCCCATCCATCCAGTCCTGTCCTCCCCCGAAGGCGAAGGCGGCTGGGCCTCGCTCCTCTGAGCCAGCACCCACTTAGGCTCCGCCAGCCTTTCTCCACCTGGCGGGGGGCAGGATCTGTAGTCTGTGGCGGGAAAGGGTGGAAGGGCAGGTGGCCCGAGGACTCGGGGGCTACGGATTCGGTTATTATCCTTATTCGCTCAGCAGTTTCCACCTGGGTTCAGGCCTGCACGGATTCACCTTCGCGACCCGTTTCCCACAGGGGGATACACTGTTCACCACAGATTCGGTTTTTAACCCCCTTTCCTTCTTTAGCTTCTCTATCAGTGCCTCACACTCTGCTGAGACCACAGAAGCAAATCCGTGATTGTTCCATGTATTTCTAAAAGCTAATTTATTTATTTTTGAAACTCTGTTTCCTTTGTCATCATCTTTCCTCAGACTTCTTCTCTCACTTTAGTTTTTGCTTAAACTATAGGACAAATCCTATTATTTTCCAGAAACCCCACTAATGCCTTTATTTTTTTCTTCCTTTTGTTGTGTGAGTCCATGCGCAGAGCACAGACTCTGCTCTGCTACTCTCATCTCTGCTGTCCTCACTGGTCCTGAAACACCTCTCCCGTCCTTCAACTCTTTGTCCCAGTGGTGGCGAACCTGCGGCACACATGCCACAGCCAGCTGCTGGTTATCACTGGAACCACAGAAGGCTTCGCCATCTCGGATTTGTTTCCTCCCTCCCCACCCTGCGTGTCCCGTTTACCTCTGACTGAGGGGCAACCACTACACCTTGCTGCGGGGCACGTTTTTGTTTGTTCAACTATATTCTCACAAATATGATTGCTTTATGCATCTGTGTCTAGCTTATGCAAATGGAATTGGGTTTTGTAACTCTTCTTCTTTTCTTGAAAAATTGGGTGTTCGAGAGTGCTCCATGGTCTATGGGCCCACGCTGTCTGTTGTTTCCAATTGCTGTGCGATGCCCAGGGCATGATCTCCCACATTTTCTCGACAACTTTCCCAAGGACAAGGCCCTGTCTGCTGCACAGGCCCCTCGGGGATAGGTGTGGAACAGCACCAGTACAGACGCCCAGGGGCAGATTACTGGGCCTTCTGAGGACGGGGCCATGGCAGACCAGAAGGCGGAAATCAGCACGGTACCTGGTTATACCAGGGGCCTACAACCCCCACCAGCGCTTGCCATGATCAACTTTCCAAATTTTGTGTTGAGCTTTTAAAAAGCAACGTCTAACATCACCCTTAGCATGACTGTTTCAAAAGGATAATATCAAGGAAGTTTCTTTAAAAAAAAAAAAAAGAAGCCGGATGTGGTGGCTCACACCTGTAATTCCAGCACTCGGGAAGCTGAGGCAGGAGGATCCTTGGAGACCAGCCTGGGCTACAGAGTGAGCTCCAGACCAGCCTGAACTGCATAGGGAGATCCTGTCTCAAAAAGCAAAAAAAAAAAAAAAAAAGGGCACTATTGTCTGTGCAAACACATAGACAGGGCCACACTACAGCAGGTCCATCCATCCGTGCACTAAACAGCACTATCCACGTAACAGTGGCAACTAGTCTGTCCCTGGAGGCTCCCAGGCCTCAGAGTGTAAGCTTCCTACTTGACCTTTGCCCCACATTTTCGGGACCCATCGCCCTCCCACCGCCTTACCACCTAGGAAAAGCTCTGCCGTGCTGGGCCTGTTCTCCCTGACTCCAGGGTACCTCTCGGTGTCCTTGGGTCCCCACCAGAATCCTGTATATATTTATTTTTCTTTATTACCTCTAACAAAGCCAGCTAACCCTCAAATTATTTGGCTCTCTTCCCATTGTAAGCAATTACCATTTCGGTGAAGGAACAGAAATCCCCCAGCTAGGGAGTGCACCACTCTTAGGAGGCCGCAACTCATAGCCTCTTCCTCCCAAGGATGCTTCACAAGCCACCTGGGTCCACATGCTTATGTAGTGGCATTCCTCTGGTATGGGCGGGTGAAGACGCTTTTCAAGGGGACAGCTTTCCCCGCACCTGACTCCTCCCTTAGACATTTAGTTTACAAAATCTGACACTTGCATTCGAATCCTAGGTATGTTCAAGAGGTCCTAAGGCTGTGTCTCATAAACTATCAGGGCTGGCAATTATATTTCAGAGTAGAAAGGTCCCACAGGTAACTTACACAGTGCACAGTCAAGTCCGAGCCCTGAAACCTGAGGAGCATGGGGAATTTATAAGCATGGCGACAATGCCATTTTTGTGTATTATTATAATTTTATCTTAAGAACAAGCACACCACAGTTTGAGTCCTTCCCCTAAAGCTTTGCAATGAGCTGCAGTGTGATTCTTACCAACAATTTTCAGCATTAGTATTCTCTGGTTCCTAGTACAGCATATATAGTTTAAGTGAAAACACACCAGATTTTTTTATGCTAAGTGATAAGAAAAAAAAAGAACAGGATTGGAGATATAGCTCAGCGGCACAAGTGCCTGTCTGGCAAGTGCAAGGTTGTGAGTTCAATCCCTGGTACCAAAAAAAAAAAAAAAAAAAACACTAAAAATTAAGCACATAAAAGAAAACATGTTTAAAAAAATAAAACCTAAACACACCATACAATCCTCAAGTAGAGGACCTCGGCCTCAAAGATCTGTCCCCCATGGACAGGGTATGACTCAGGACTGACTCCAGGGAGCTGTGCGGCCCTCAGGACAGGCACAGTGGCAATGGAGCCCAAGGGGGTCATCGACCTAGTTCCACAACTGGGCCCTGCAAAATTCTTCAGGGTGACAAACTGTATCTGGTCTGTGATTGCTTTGGTAAATAGTATTGCACTGAAAGATGGATTTAGATGATTTATATTGAAGGCCCCTCATTCTGCTGAAAGTTTCAAGTTGGTTTGGGAATTATGTCTTCCCTGGAATGCATAGGTTATTCAAATGCATATGTCACAGCAGGTAAATACAGTTGCTATACATATGTGTGTATAAAGTCAAAATACAAATTTATTTTAAGATCATGTGCCTGTGGAAAGCTTTATTATTAATTCATTCAAAATATGAACAAAGTAGAGGACACCTCATCTGAAATCAGGATAATACATTGAGTCCTAAAATACTGAGTTACAACGATTTTCTTTTAAAAATACATTGGCCTCCTTTCTTATCCATTTTAATTACTGTTTACAGTGGTAACTGCTTTAGGGTGTGTTTTCGGGGCATTACCTCCTATACTTTAAGTTACTCTGTAATGAATATTTCCAGGACTGTGTACATGTGCTGTTTGCAGAGGAATTCTCTCCAGTATTCTGCACTCCTTTAGGTGACTTCAGTTCCAGATTCTCTGTTCAAATCATTTGGAAAGATAAAGACAGAATCTCCAGGGAAAATGGAAGATTTATTTCTTGGCCAGAGTAATAACATTAATGTCTCCCTCTGGGCAAAGGACGGACACATTTGCTCACAGCGGCCTCCGAAACCAGCAGTCTGTCCATGCCGCATGTGTGCAGGGAGTGTCAGGGTCTGCTGAGCCACTGGCCCTCAGCACATGGGGGACAGGGAGGCTGGGGGGCTGAGGGAAACCTGAAGCTCTCGCTGCCCGCTGAGCCTGAGTAATAGAGGCCTTTGTCTCTGACCCTGGACGCTAATGTCTTCTGACAGCATCTAGGAAGCTGTGACAGCTCAACTTATCTTAAATATGAGGCAAAATCTTAGACCCTTCACAGGTTTTGACATGAGCACAAGATAATATATTGTGTGATGGTGACGACAATTCATGACTGTTCTAGGATCAGAACATGCGTCATTCCTGGCAGCAAACCTAAACTGGCACTGGATCCAAAGGGCAAGTTACCCTTGCAGACCCGAGTTAGGAAGGGCCTCACCACAGAGCCCCCGTCCTGATCTCTTCCAAGGACAGCACTCTCCCTCCTGTGATCCCCATGCGTTCTTATTTTCTCTAGACTGTAGTGATTGGTGTGCTTAATTTTCACTCTTGTTAGACTGTAACATAAGAGGGCAAAGCAGTGCCTCCCCTCTGTGTGCCACGCAGGCCCTCAGAGCAGTGCTTCGTGGGGCTGCTTACTCACGGGGAGCAGAGTAGACCGCACCGCCCACGCACTCCATCACATTCTTTGTGAAGTCAAAATCCACCAAAGAGGCTCAGAGGAAGAAGGTTTGAAAGACTGGATTCACTAGCATGAAAATGCTATAAGGAGCATCAGATGACTCAGTGAATCTGTCCAGCTTAATCAGGACAGAAAGAGGATGCTGACAATAATCATCATTTTCAAAGACTGGAAGCTCGCTTCAGCTAGGCAAAAGGATGTGGATCAGGTCGCTCAAGGCAAATGTGAGGGAGGGAGGAAAACTGAAATCCTGAGCGCTCACCACAGCAAAAGCCAGTACACGGGAACATTTTGCTAAACTTTAGTTGCTTGATTGGCTTTGTTGTGGTTGTGGTTGTTGTTGCTTTTTTTTTTTTTTTTTTAACAGAGTTTAACAGGCCAGGACTAAAGCCAAACGTTAACTCAGGTGGTAAAGTATTATAACGAAAGGCCTCACTGGAAATGGAAGGTTATTTTTTTAAGCCATCGTGTATAAATGTTCTGCCAGGCTGGGACGGGAAGTGATTTTCTTCATTTGTTTTGGCAGTCAGGGTGTCCTCTGGTTCTGCTCCAGAGTTTAGCATCTACAAAAACCCATAAAATTAAGCTATTTGCTCTGCAGAAAACATTTTAAA